GGGGGGGGGGGGTGTGTGCGTGTGTGTGGAGGGGGTGTTGTTCCTGCACGGATGGTGGGGCTGTGCCTCGCCCTGAGTTGCAGGTCACTTTCTGTTGGGGACAGAGGCCAGGTGCATGCGGCCACAGAAAGGAAACCAGTGAGGCCACTGAGGCAACGATACATTTGCTTCTTCACAGGGCCTGGCTCAGCTCTGGGATCATTTAAGGGGAAGTAAGTTGGTAAAGGTGTTGTGCCTTCCTCACTTTGCTGGTAGTCATCCCACTTGGCTGTTACACCATGGTAGCTGCACCTTAGATGGGGAAACTGAGGCACAGAGAGTCCAAAGCACCGAAGCATGGCTGTGCCCACGGCAGCACCAGCAAAATTCCCTGTCCCCATGCTCAGGGAGGGCCAGGGGACCAAATGAGAAGAGCCGTGGATGCACATGGCACATCAGTGATATTGCCAGGTCCCATCTGCCACAGGGCGGGACCCACGTCCATGCCAAGGCAGCCCTTCCCACCAGGTGACTCACTGTGGGTGGCAGGGTCTCCGCTGAAGACACCGGCTCTGGAACAATGGGCATCTTGGGGACCAGGTACCACCAATGCCCACAGACCTGGTGGGTTTGGGCACCGAGGTCCTCCCCCACCTGCACAGAGATCCCCTCCTAATGCTGTGGCAAGGTGGCACCTCAGAGAACCCAGCTGAGGTGCTCCGAAACCCACTTGGGGAGGGGGGGTATTAGCACTGCCACCTGGCCTGGGACCCCACCGGGGACAGCCCCCCCCTCCCCAGCACCCGGCTCCAGGGTGGCATCCGGTTGCACAACGCCCCTTGCGTGGGTGGGGGCGCAACGCGGGACCCGCCACTCCCTGCCCGGGCATGAGTCAGGCGCCAGCCGGGAGCCGAGGGCGAGGGGGGGCCCTGATGTGGGGGCTCCTCTTTACAGGGGCATCACTGTGGGCAAGCAACCACACCCAGCCTTCAAGCTTTGGGCATGGGGGTGGGACAGCACGTGACTAACTCCAGCAGCCCCCAGTAGGGAGACTTTTGCACCCTGGAACAGCCTGGGAGCCATCACCTGGGGGTTTTAGAGGTGCCCGTGTCACACAGCTCCCTGGGGATGCCCAGCGCCTGCTGGGCCCCGCAGCACACCTGCATCCCCTCCCCATACTGTCCCACAGTCCCAGTTGCCTGCAGGGAGCAACTGGCACCCATGGACACAGGGCCTGTCCCCATGCGTTGGCAGGGATGAACCTGGGAGACAGCCACAGGCACCCTCCTCCTCCTCTCCACAGAATATTTTTTATATATATATAATATATATATATATTAAAATTACACTTCTCTTTACAAAAACAATTCAACAAGGGGCCAGGGGTTGGAGCCCATCGCCAAAGCCAGGGCACAGGCACCCTGGGAAGTGTGGAGTGCTGGGCAGGCTCCCTTTTGGGGTGTCCCCGTGCCCCAGGCGGGGGCTCAGTCCAGAGTCCAGCAGCAGGTCGCGTGGTGGGTGTGGGTGGGCACCAGGGGGGCGGCCCTGAGGCGAGATGCCTGCTCCGGCTCCGACGCAGCTCACCCCATCCCTGCTGTCACCGCCTGTAAGAAGAGGAGAGGACTTGAGATGGGTGACAGTGCCAGCTGGCCGAGAGCAGCATGGCATGGAGACACTCCACCCCTCTACCCCTCACCAAAAAAAAAAAAAAATCCGTGCCCCTACTTCTGGCGGGTGGTGCTGTAGGGATCGAGGAGGTGGGAGCTGGCCTGGGCCAGGTTCCAGTCGAACATCTCCAGCACCCGGTGGCACTCAACACGGGACTTCAGCCCCAGGCAGAAGAGCTGCTCCACCTGCAAGGGGACACGTCACGGTGAGGGGGGTGACAGGGGTGCCACCGCTCTGACAGGAGGGGGCGTGGGGGCATGCGGTACCTTCAGGTACTGGATGGCCCGTTGGACACTCCAGCCGTGGTTCTGCAGGGCTGCCTGGCACTCCTCAGTGGTCACGCCGTGCACTGTGTCCTGCACCTGGAGGGAGCTTGTGGTTGGTGCCTGCCACCACCCCTGGGGCAGCAAGAAGCCCATGGCTGGAGCAGGGGGGCAGCCTGGCACCCCAGCTCTGTCAGCTCAGAAATAGGACCACCCTCATCCCTGGGATCTTCAGCCTCTCCTGGGCTCAGGTTGCAGACTCCCAGCCCCCATGGACCCAGCGCAGAGCGCCCAAGGGGACTGCGGTGACCGCCACCTTCGTCCCCCGCTCCCTGAGACTGTGAGCAGGGCTAACCTGGGTTAAAAGGACCTGTAATCCCCCCTTTGGAGCCCCACAGGACATCTGGGGAACGAACCCTGGGGTTGAATTTAGGGAAACCAAGGCAGGAGACGAGGATGACTCTTGCTCAAGCAAGCCCATGGCCACCTTATTCCCTCTTGCTCACAGACGCCCAGGATGACACTTACCAGGCGGATCTTGTCGGCGGGGCGGCAGCCATCTGGCCCGTCATAGACAATCTTCTGGAGGCTGCAGGAGGCTTTCACCAGGCACTTGGGCCCAGGGTTGCTATTGTTGGAGGAGAAGTTGGCCTTGCAGTCTGGCGGTGGCTGCTGCACCATAGGACGGACGGTGGCTGTGGTCACCAAGCGGGATGCCGGCAACTCCTCAGGACTTTTGGCCTCCTTGAAAAATTTCTCATACTTGTCCAGGTAGGCAGGGCGCTCAGGCAGCAGGTAGTAGTGGGTACTGCTGACCTTCTGCCCGTCCTTCACGATGGGCAGGATGCAGGGTCCCTTGGAACAGTCCTTACCCTGTGCCTGGATGACTTTGGGGGTGGCATACTTGGGGTCAAGGGCAAAGCTCTGCGTGGTGGGCATGGGCTTCCCCGGCGAGGTGGAAAGGCAGGAGCAGAGGGTGGCACGTTGCTGAGGGGAGCCCACTTGTAGGGCCATGGGGCTGGGAGTCCGGGACGTGGGCTGCGACAGCGGGTCCCGGGGGGGAATCTGGGGTGGCCGGTCTTCCTCACCCCCTGAAGCTGGGGAAAGATCCCCTGACCAGCGCCCAGGCTCATTGCGGCGTAAGGGCCGAGGAGGGATGGGTACACGAGGTGGGATTTGGGGCTTGTCATCGGTGGGGGCAGCTGGTCCCAGGGGGACATTGAGCCTCTTCATGCACTCCTGCTGCAGCTCCTCAAAGAGCTCAGTGGTCTGCGTCAGGCTGGGCTGCTTGGTCTCCTTGGGGGGCAGGAAGAGGTTGTCCTCCAGCACTGGTCCCCGCTCACCCTCGTCCACAAAGCCGTAGTTGGTCTTGCCCCGCCGGCTCGGGGGGCTGGTGATGGAACAGACCTCAAAGTCGTCCTCGT